GGCCGCCAGGCGGTCGGGCAGGCAGCCCACGCCCGCGAACAGGCAGTTGGCGAGGTTGAACGTGGCCTCGGCATGGCCCAGCGCCGACGCGGTGACATAGGCCGTGAGGCCGCGCCCCTCGTCCGTCGGGCCGCCACGGCCCGTCATCCAGGCGCGGCCGAGCTGGAAGTGGCCGATGGCGCTGCCGCGCGCGGCAGCCTGCTCCAGCAGGTTGCGCGCCTTCGCGGCGTCGGCCCGCATGCCCAGGCCCTCCAGCCGGCACAGGCCCAGCATGGCGATCCCGTCGCCGTTATTGCCCTCGGCCGCGGCGCGGAACCAGCCCGCGGCGCGCTCGTAGTCCGGCGGCGTGGCGTGGAACAGGGCGAGGCCCTGCTGGAGTGGGTCGACGGTCTGCATGGGGGATGACGGCTTATCCCTAGATTGTGTGGCACGTCATGGTGTTGCTAGGGATGGTGAAACCGCTTGCCGCGCGACGGCGACCGCCTGTCGGCGATCGACGTGAGAATCCCACGCACCCCGGCAATCTCTCACCGCCATGAGCTTTTCAGCCCTCGCCCAGTACGCCATGAGCCTGCCCGGCGCCACGCAGGACGTGAAGTGGGGCGCCGACTGGGTCGCCAGCGTCGGCGGCAAGATGTTCCTCGTCGGCGGGCCGCACCCGGGCACATGGACGCATTGCAGCTTCAAGGTCGACGACCACCGCTTTCTGGAGCTGACCGGCGTGCCCGGCTTTGCGCCGGCGCCGTATGCGGCGCGTTACCACTGGGTGGCGGTGTCGGACGCGAAGGCGCTGCCGTTGTCGGAACTCAAGGCGCTGGTGAAGCGCTCGCACGAGTTGGTGGCGGCCAAGCTGACGAAGAAGGCGCGGCTCGCGCTGGGCATCGGGGGCTTGAGCGCCGGGTAGGCTTGGCACACGAATACACAGGACCGCACTCGAATGATCGATCTCCAGGTCAGCGACCTCCGCCCCTTTTTGCCAGCGTCTGATTTCGAGGCCTCCAAGGCCTTCTACGTGGCGCTGGGGTTTGAGTTGCAGTACAGCGACGCCGACCTCGCGCTGCTGGCCGCGGGCAC